ATTAAAAAATGCAATGAATCATCTAGTTTGTATAATGTTGGATGGTTTCTAACCCTATAATAAACCATCCAATCAGCATAGTGCCAGGTGGATTCAAATTCTATAAAGCACCATCTGGTCTTCCCCATGCCGAATGGTTTCCAACTCTGTTAAACACCACCCGGGTTGCTCCATACCAAGGACTCTAGGCACAAAATATGCTCTTGTTGTTGATCATATAAGTAGTTATGTAGTTTGGGTATTAATCAGTTTGGAACAAACCAAAACTAGTCCAAATCCAATTGATTGAGATATTCTATCACAATACCTCCCCATAGAGGAGTTTGGCTTTAGTCTTGGCATGGTTTGTGCATTGGGAGGATGCGCCACGTGTCCTCCGAATCGTGTGAGGTACTGAAGCGTGCAAATAGGCTCTTAACTCTGTTAGTATTGTTTCCCGTAAGAGTTCGGTTAACCTGGATGAATCGACTCTCTCCTCTCCGCCCGCAGACTCTTGCTCTCTCCTCTCCTATCACAGACTCTTGCTCTCTCTTCTCTGCCCGGTGGCAGCCATCACCGCTGGCAACAAACAATCATCACCGGCGGCGGAAGAAGAACATTAGGTATTGTCTTATTTTTTCTAGTTTGTAACCCTAACCCTAGTCTGTGTATTAGAATCGCCAGCTTATAAGAATAGTTCTGCTTTTACTTATTTTATGAATTTAAAATTTTAAGATCTTGGAAATTACCTTTCAATATTCTTGTTCCTTACTTTGTTGATTTCCACCCCTTCAAATTGCAACACGTATATTGATATTGTAAATGATGAATTTTCTCCTTAATCCGCCAATCATTTTTGAGTTTAACTAGCGAGCGATGTATTTTTTGTAAGCTTGAATGTCTTTGCATTGGATGATTGGGGTTATTTTCTATGCTTTTAATTTTTTATGTGATTTGTGTGTTCGCAATGCTTCTTGTTCATAAACATCCTGATTAGGATTTAATCATTTACTTATTAACTTAAAGATAGAAGAAAATTCATTGGGTGTATTGTATTGTTGTGCCACAATTAGCTAGAGAACCAGTTGTCATTAGCATCAACTAATGTGGGTTTTCGTGAATTTAGAGATCATGACTAAAGGGTTTAAATCTTATGGAGATTTTCAGTTATGATTTAAATACTTGTTATTTTAGTTCATTGACTAATGCATTCAGGTTTGAGGTCCCATCTGGTTGTTACATATTCAAATTTAGATATTTCTTGCAGAAACATTCATTGATCTTTTTGGCTTTCTCATTCTCCTCTTTAGAACTAATATTGTAGTTAAATATTTATGATTTTTTTCCTCTAACCAATATGTTTTAAGATTAACTTGGTTCTACTTTTGCAATTGATGTTTCTCTGTGATGCCAATCTAATTTGAGGAACCACTGTTTGTTGGTTAAGATTTACTGCATCATCTACTGCTTCTGCAATTGATGTTTCTCTATCACTTTTTGTTGTTGTGTTTAATAATTTGTTAAAATTTGATGTGTGAAACAGTAAATGGATAATATCCCCCACTTCATGCAGAAACTAGACTTTGAATTGGATGAAGACATACCCTTCACTCAACACCACACTTGATCCGAATGATGTACAACCTTCTCTTGACATAAATGGACCATCCAATCAGAATGATGATTTGCCTACATCTAAAGAAACTATATGCATTGATAGAAGCTTACAAAATAAGATTAGAGAAAAATTAAGTCTCATTCCTAAAAAGTGGACACCAAAAATTGGTATGATGTTTCCAACAGTGGTGGAATCATATGATTTTATAATAGGTATGCTGGAAAAGTGGGATTTAGCATTCGGAAAGCAAGGGGGGGTCTCAACCCTACCAAAACTAACATGTAGGGATGTCAACAGGTCGCTAGATAGGGGGTCTTAACTCGTATCTAACATGTGGAATTGGAACCCTGCATGCCCAAATCCTACCTTGAACATTCTGATCTAAGTCATTACCCATGAATCCATTACCCACAATAGTTAATAACAACAAAGACCATATCAAGGAAGGATAAGATGAGAAGTTGAAAATATTCTTTATTCTATGTAAGAAATGAAGTTGATTCACTATTATTGTTTGCACCTTGGAGATACGAAACCAAGAATTAATGAGCCAATCGGATCACTATTATTATTTGCCACATCTTTTAACTGTTTGGAAGACTGGATAAAGACTAGGGATTAATACTTTGAATCCTTTAGTAGGGATTAATTGTTCTCTTCCCATTATATAACATGACAGAAATGTTTTTGATGAAAAGCGAGTGATCAATATTTGAATACTCAATGAGAGGGAGATTCGGTTAAATAAAAAGATGTAAGTGCTTTATTAAACAATAGCGTTTGTAGTCCAACGGTTAGGATAATTGCCTTCCAAGCAATAGACCCGGGTTCGACTCCCGGCAAACGCAAATATTTTTTTCTTACTTTTCCTCTTTTTTTTTTTTCAAATTAAACATTCAACCACAGGATAAATTCCCTATCCATTCAAAATAATACACGAAAATTTTAGTATTTCCAGCAACTAATAAGCCGGTCAATTTAGGAATATACAAAAAGTTACATAAACATCCCTCGAATATTATATACTCCACTCTTTAAGCATTAATGACAAAAAAGAAAATGGTAGTTATACAACATTGATCCTAGTTTAAGGGTAGTGTCTAATCAAAGAGTAAAAGGTACAAGTTAACATTATAAGTTTTAAGATTTAATTAATGCCTTTTTGGTATTATAGTTGGGATCCATACAAATTAGCATACAACTATTGTTTAATGTCATTTATGGTTAAGGGGTTGTTTAGTTTTATTTCCATTAACCGCCACATAAGTGAAATAGTAAAAAAATAATGCCTTTCGTGCAACCTAAGAAAAACATTTTATTGATTAGCAATTTCACAAAAAAAAAAAAAAATCAAGCTTCATTGGAGAAAACACTTGTTTAGTGATGAGCTGGTGCCGATTTTTTGAGTAACCGCAATGGAACCAAAGACCATTTCAAACAAATGCGCCTTCAAAATGTATGTATGAGAAGCTTATCATTAACATTTATAGTTGAAATTAGAGGTGCCAATAAGACATTGAATTGGAGGGACCAGCAAAACATATTGAATTGGACCAGTTTAGACTAAATGGTATAAAATATTTATTGGATTAGATTGGATTTGGTCTATCCGTAATGAATTTATATTGGATTGGGTTGGATTGAGCCAATATTTGATTTATCGACAAAAGATAAGAATATATAGGTGTCAATGGACCAGGTTTGGGTTAGAATAATTAATTCAAATTAAAACAAATTTGAATAGATTGAATGATTCAAACATTGAATTGGACAGATCCAAAATTGTCCAAAATGTTCATTGGATTGGATGGGAGCTGGTCTATTTATAATGGACTCACATTGGATTAGATCAGATTGGACCAAATCCAGCCCAATTGACACTCCTAGTTGAAATGTTAAAATTGATGTTTATTACTTATGTTCTATTTGGTACCATTATTGTTTGTACAACATTTTGGGTTGATGAATACAAATTGGTGACATATATGTAGTGGCAGAGCCAAGAATTTTCGTTTAGTGGGCAGGTTAAATAAGAAAATGAGACAGGGAATAAAGGGGGTAGGGTTTGAAAGAAATGGAGGTTTGGGTCTAATACAGATTTTTAATTTTGGGAGTTAGAGGAGTGTTAGAGAGAGTTTTTTTGGGGGAAGGTGTTATTACTTATTACCTCTACTTACTAATTATATAAATAATGATTTTAATAAAATGTTAATGTTTGGACGGGCCAATAGGGGTGCCAATTGGACTGGATCTGATCCTGTCCAATATGAGTCCATTATAAATGGATCAGGTTCAATCCAATCCGATAACTCTTTTAGACTATTTTGGATCAGTCCAATTTAATGTCTGAACCGTCCAATCTGTTCAAATTAGTTTTAATTTAGATTTATTCCTATCAAAACCTAGTCCATAGACACCTGTATTCCAATTCAATCCAATAAATAGACTGGTCCAATTCAATCCAATAAATAGACTGGTCCAATTCAATGTCTTCCATTCAATCCAAAATCAGTCCATCGACACACCTACCGGCAAAGAATCTGACTGATATAAAATCCCAGCTTGTGTGGGAGGGTTTGTGGGAAAGAGAAAAAAAATAAAATAGGAACTTGCCATCAACCCCTTAACCTAAGGCGTAGCATATCACAACCTAATCTATGATACGGGAAAGATATGATATGGAAAGAGATTTGACCATTCAAAACCCATCACTTGGATTCATATATAAGAGATGTAAGTTGAGAGAAAAGCTATGAAGGTTGCGTTTAGTAAAATAAAATTTTGCACCTGGTCAAGATTTGAACTGCAATCTAAAGTAGTCTAAGAAATTTTACAAAGTTTGACAAGAACTTTTGTTCAGATTTCTGTTCGTCTTTTGTTTTCTATCAAACCAAACGCTACCTAAGAATTTTTTTTTTCTCGATTCTCTGTTTTGGATGGAATGTCCAATGGCATGGACGCATGGTCTCACTTTGGTTGGTTAGTACTCGCCTACTCAGTAGGAATTCTAGTTCTCGATTCTCGATTCTTGCTGTATAGAGTTCTCTCACGGTTTTTGCTTTGAGGAAATCCCGTCTCCCCACTTGGATACTGATATTTCATTTTGTAGTTGGAAGTTGGAACGGGAAGGTTGGCCATTGGGCAACCCAAAGGCCAAAATCCCAAACTTTACTCAGTATAAGCCCCAGTACTCATAATTTACTTGCATCAAACATATAGTGGATATTACTTACATGATGCCACTGAAAGGCTGAATTCAGTTGCAGTGTTGCGGTTACCGACTGAGGCGGACCAAACGCAATCCGGGGCCCGCCTCAACTCAGTCACAGTCATAGACTCTCGTCATGCGTAGTGGTTCATTTATGCCGTTTATCTGAAAAGGTTAAACACTGCACGAATGCCAGATCCATAAGCCTTTCTTCGTTTCCAAAATTCTCTCAGACTCGGTAACAAACAGACTTCAACTGCATAAACAACGACAAGAGCTAACAATACACCGACTAGGGAATTCATAATCCTTTCAACTACTATGCATTATTATCAAGCGAAGTAAAAAGTATCACTCACACTCACATTCACATATCAATATAGAATCAAGTAAGAAATTCCCCTCATCTTCTCCTGCGCCGTATAGAACAGAAAGCAATAGTCATGATAGCGGATCTCGCAACAGAACTTACAGAATCGAAAATGGCGTTGAACCGCCTCTCTTGCAGAGCCCAGAGAGTGGAAACAAACAAAGCCAGTCCCTCAAAGATTTCCAAAAGAATCCCCATCTTCTGAGACCCAAAACGAGAGTCCACCCAATAAAAAAGAATGCAGAGAAAAGGAAAAACTTTCAGAGCTCTCGTTGTTCAATCCTGGAAAACCCAACATATAATAGATGCAAGTGGATTCATTAACACGTCACACCTTGTCCGAGAGGGGCAAGAGAAAGGCAGAGGGAGAGAAATGGGGGTATGTGTCGTCGTGCTTGTGCACTCACCCTTTTCGTTCAAAATGCGCAATCATATATCTAGGCAATGCTTGTGACTTGTGAGGAGAGGAGAAGAGCATGTGATATAATAGCAACTTAACAAAGGCCGTGGTTTGGAATATGGATTTTGGTAAGGTTGTTTCCGCGATGCTTCTCCCTCTCTCACCGGGAAATGTTTTTTATGTCCTTTGGCTCCGTCTTGTGCTAATAAGTAATAAACAAGGTACGAATTCGATTGTAGAAATGGGCCATTGTTTCATTGGGCCCACCAGTGGATGTTAATTAATACGGCTAACGAGTGAGAGTTTTTATTCTTCGCCTGAGTTTCTACCTCTCCTGTATTTTCACCGTAATAGAAAGCAGAAACTTCTCCTGTAATTTTGAGGAAATTATAAAATTGCCCTTACTACCCAAACCCTTATCTTGTCTTCGAAAAATACATCAAAGAAAATAACATAAACACAATGAATGTTATCAGTTTTAAGGGAAGCAAAGACCTAGGCTGTATTGGATTTATAAAAACCTTTATAAATCTTCTATAGGTTTTTCTATCTTTTCCTTCAAATCAAATATAGCCTTAAAGATTATTTTCTTCATCCTCCTCCACTTCCTCTTCCTTGTCATCTCCCACACTGAAATACCCAAATCTTTCCTCTCTAATTCAAGAAAATCCTTAAATTCCAGATTCACTCCATTTAGTAGAGGGAACATGGGTGAATGATTTTTCTTGTTCTTTCCCTATAGTGGCTTTGACAATCAACTTTTAGAGCTCAAAAATGTCATCTTAATGGCTGTCATTCTCAATCCAACCTTAACCATGCTGCCTCTTTTGAATCACCCATTCGTTGCTTTAGGTTGTTCTCCCAAATCCAGGGTTTTATATGTCAAAGTATAAAACTACAAGGCATATATATATACAAAACGGTAAGAGGAATGTGAAATTAGGGATTCTCCCCCTAGAAGGCTCCATTGGACTTGGGCATGGTGTGCCATTGTAGTAGCATTGGAAGCCAATATTGTTGCAGATCATTCAGAAACCTAATCATTTAAGTTACATCGTTTTCAGCCATTTCACACATCTTCCAAGCATATAGTTTGATTGTATGAGCAATAACATTTTTTTGATGATTTTTTAATGAAAGTTTCATGAACAACCAACCCGTATTTCTTTTTTTATTCAGCAATGGGAACATGGCAACAACAGTTATCCGATGCTTGGAAACGGGGGAAGTTAAATTATCTATATAACTTCCCCCTTATCTATATATATATATATATATATATATATATATATATATATATTGCAAACCAATGCAAAATTCTGATTTAAAACGGATAATTTCAGTAAATAATTTTAACATTATTTGTTGCCAACGGAAATAATAATTATTAACTTCCCTGTACTAAGTAATGTTAATTATGATTAACATTTAATAATTAACATTACGTGTATAATTATAAATTAATTATTATGAATATAAAAGAATTATTATTATTTTTGTTATTAATTATCAGTATTTAATTTAACCGGGTTTGATAATAAATGATAAATATCATTAATTTATTTTTATCTTTTGGAAAACTGAATAAGAGAAAAATAAAATGGTTAGTATTGAAAATGAAAAATTATTTGGATTTTTGCAAAAAAAAATATTGAACATAAAAAAACCAATTATTCAAAGATAAGGTCATTAACCAAAGAGTAATTATAAATATTGAGTGAAAAATAATTTTAAGAAATTAAATTTATTAATTAATAATCTGTTTGAATTAAAACGGGTAGTTTCAGCAAAGATTTTTAAGTAATTAAAATTAGTTATTAAATTATTATTATTATATTATTGTTATTATTATTATTATTATTATTATTATTAAGTAAGTAAGTAATTTGTTATAATTAAGATTTTTAGTTAATCCATGAAAAAAATAATTGCTGTCATAATTCTTTTAGTTTAACAATATTGAAGAATTCAAAGTTTTATAATTTAACTTTCACTAAATGAAATATTGATTGAAGAATAATAGCAGCATTAATTATAATTACTTATAATAATAATAGTGTAAATAATTAACAATAAATATATATAATTATATTTATATTAATATGAATTGATTAACCTAATAGAATCTGTTTCTTAGAGATTGCAAGATTGTATGAGTTGTAGACACGGAGAAGTTTAGAGAAGTTCAGTTAACCTTCACTTAGAGAAGTTCAGGAATGACATTTGTTTAAGCAAAAAAATGCCTAATTTATTATTATTATTATTATTATTATTATTATTATTATTATTATTATTATTATTATTATTTCTTTACTTTTTGAAAGATTATTTGTATCGTAATATTTAATTAATTATTATTAAGTATTTAACTAATGATTTTATTATCATAATAATTGTTATAATTAAAATTTTTACTATTAATCAAAATATTTACTGATAATATATTTTTTAATTACACTAAATTCTGATGATTTACATAACTTTAATGCACAATTAATTATAACTAAAATTAATTATCAGCTTAATATTTAAAAAGCATAAAAGGAGAAAATAAAGAGAAAAATATAAATACAAAAACATGGAATGGGGTTGAATCTCTGGTCATTGTCATAGGCATGAAATGAAAAACAGGGGATGTGTGGAGGTATCATTTTTGATTGATTTTCAGAAGGGGCACACCTAAGAGAAAATTTTCTCTCTAATGTTTGTTTTCATTTTAAGAGAAACAGGTCTTAGTGAGCAGCGGTGTTGACGATCATGTTCGTCGACTCTTCACTATAGTTAAGAAGAGTTTGTTTTCACACCGGCGATACTGTTCGCGAGCTGCCAGCAGTGTCGGCGATACTATTCGTCGACTCCTTTGTTCACCAACAGGAGGTGAACAGGCGCATCTCTACTTCGCTCCAACATAAGTTGATGCAGCCAAAGCTTCTAGGTCACCGAAAAGCTGTTTTGCTTTCCATTCGGCGTCAGAGCTTCTGCAAGTGAAGACTCCCATTTCTCCCTTGCCAAAACTTCTGAAACGCCTTCATCGGAGGGATGGAGCGAGAGAGAAACGGGAGGATTGGATTTGTACTGCTCTGGTTTTTGCATCGTTCAAGTACAAAGATGATGAATAATTGGGTTTAAAAATAACACCCGGAAGTTCCTCATTTTTCCAGCAATTGTTCTCTCTCTCTCTATGTAATTCCTATTGGCCAACTGCTCTTTCACTCTATCACTATTGGGTATCAACTATGTGTGCGTATGTCTATCTATACTTCCGTTGCCATTATGGTATATCCTTAGTTTGTTTTATCTACTTTTATTTATTATATCTCAGAATCACTTAGTTGAGACGTCTTGGTCTCAGGCTCTCAGCCAGTCTAAAACAATACAGCATTGCCCTATAAGTGACCACCCCCAACCACTGGCAGCCACCCAGAAGTGACCGCCGGTGGCTGGCGATGTCATCTACATTAAATGTAAAGACTGTTAATGGCTAAATAATAACAGCAAAAAACAAAGCATGTAATAACTATAAAACACAGAGAGGTCCGGTCTAGAACAATACAACGACGGCCTATAATTAATTCATATGACCATCCCAACCACCGACAGCCACCCAGAAGTGATCGCCGGTGGCCGGCGATTAATAACTGTAAAAAACATAGTATCTAATAATTGTAAAAAACCTGTAAACTAACCGGATTGAGACAATCTACTAAAATCAATTCCCAGAGATCTGCAAGCTCTTTCATTCGTATTTAACAGAGATTAAAAAGCGAAACTACTCTCCTTACTCATGCAATCGGTTTCTCTAAAACTAATCGGAAACTATTCTAAAAAAATACAGAAATTGAAGTTTCTGTGAACCAGTTTCTGAACACTAAGCAGATTGAATAAGGTTCTCTGAAATTGCAGTAATGCTCTGAATTCGAAGTTTCTTTGAAATGCAGTTTGAAGCAGCTCCTGTATTGAACTCTTCTCCCGTTTCCTGAACTTCTCTGAGATTGCAGGCTTAAACAAATGTCATTCCTGGCCGTTCGAATGAAGGTTAATTGAGCTTCTCTGGGTTGCAGATTTATTTCAGTTGCAGAGCTTTGTAAGAATTAATTTGCATATTGATTGCTATTTCGTGAGTTTTCTATTTCCTTAAATTCTTAGTTTCCTTTTTTTAGGAAAGAATTGAAAGTGGGAGATTCCCAGTTCACACGACTTTGCATTGTGATGGGCTCAACTATACATGTTAATAGGCTTTGTTCTCAAAGATCACAAATCAGAAATAGAGTTTGGAAAGAAATGTATATGAATGTAGGAGGGCCATGTGTTTGACTGGGGGAGGCTCTGGCTGAAATCATTCTTTTATATATATGTATATAAGCGACACTGCATTGCATAACTATTGATCTACGATGAAGAAATAGTGTTGAGTCTTTTGTAATCATTTATTAACAACCGACTAAATACATCTCCACTAGCAAAACCTAGGAATGAAACCTAAGATGTGGGGATATAGAGAGGAAGAGATGGTGAGGCTTTAGGTAGGGATGCAAATGGACTAGATCAGATTCAAATCAAGGTATATTTGAATCCGATCTGACATTGTTCATGTTAGATTTAATCTAATCTGAAGATTCGATCGGATCTGATAAGACTCGATTAAATTCGAATCCTATCGGTAAGTCTGATCTTTGGATCTGATCCGATGGGAAGTCAAACAAGGAATTTAATAAAAGGTCTTTTTGAGGGTTGAGTGTTATGCAATCAGATATTCATAATCGAGTAATGCCATGTTTGGGAGTGCTTATTTGGGCAGGGACCACACCATTAAGCACTTATTAGTGTTTGGGAAATAAGCCCGAAATAAGTGATTATTTTTAAAAATAATGGCTTATTTTTAAGCCCAGATTTCTAGCTTTTTTTAAGTGCTCATACAATAAGCACTTATTCAATTTTTATCTCTCATAATTGTCCCTAGTTAATTTTTAGAATACCAATTATAACCCATTTACAAAAATAATTTTACAAAGGCACTTTTATAAAAGTATTTTACAGAAGTGCTTTTATCAAAGTACTTTTATGAAAGCACTTCTATCAAAGTACTTTTATTCATTTACTTTGGATTGGATATTTTGAAAATTTGATAGAAAATGAAGGACA